GGTCAAAATAACAGCTAGTAATTAACACAGCTGTTGATCCAACCCAATTCTCACTTCAGTTTTTTTTTTCTTTTTTACTCTGCCTGAACTTTTAAAATTCATTATTTTGCACATATTCATGATAAAACTAATTTTTTAGTTATACAGTTACTATTTTTACTTCATATTTAAGAAATTATGTTATCAAAGCAATTATTTTTGTCTTCAGGTGACTATACCCTTTTATTTCTATGTAAATGTAGATATGTAATAATTTCACTTTTTGACTGTCAGTTTAATACTGTATATCTTTTTATTACAAAGTTTATTAATAATACTGTATATCTTAACGGACTTCAATAATTGGCTGAAGGCTGTTTTTTTGTTTGTTTGTTTTTTGGCTGAAGGTTAATTTTAAAAGCTCTTTTAAAAGAATTCAAGAAGACAGAATCCTGAATATCTTTCAGAGGGCAATCCCTCTAAGATTCGTTAATGTTGATAGTGATTTTTTTATTAGATTAATATACTGCCAATCCAAATTAAAAGTACTTATTAACACTCTTCTGAAAGGAATGCAGCCAGTTAGAATACAGTCATCTAACTACAAAACCCAATTTGCTTTTTTAAAACTGCTGTTTTCTCTAGCAAAGTCAAATTGGATGGAGAACCTAAAATGAACTACTGTATCAGCTTCCTCTAGAATCTGAATCAAATCCCTAATACATTACTTTCTTAGAAGTTTCAAGTCCAGTTTTTAGGCATACATAAACATGCATTTTACTTATCTTTTCTGCATTAAGCATAGCTCATTTCACAGATTTTTTTTTTAATTCATACAGAACTGGGGTACAAGCCAGAAACGCAGACGGTGAGAGGCTTCACCAGAGACAGAGTGGGAAGCAGAACAGGCAGATCGACGAAGTACACTGCTGACGGGAGCAGCGGGCGGGTCAGCAGAGGTCTGCCACGCCATGTGGTCACCTCCGGGGCAGGCGGGGATCGAACTCATGCTGAAGTGGCTTTAGCTTCTTAGTGCTGTGCTTTAACCTGCTGCGCCACAAGGGAGGGTCCCTCATTTCACAAATTTTAAGCAGTTTTCCCCCTTATATTTTAAAACCAAAATTATCATTAAATGAAATACAATGGCTCTTCCTCATACATACCTATATGTATATATAGGTATGTATGAGGAAAGCCATAGTGTATATATATACCTATACACACACACACGCATTGATGTTTTCAACTTTCAATTTTTTTATGAAAAAAAGATCAGCTATTTGCCTTCAGTAGTGTCAAGTTTTACTTTGAATTTAATGACTAACCCTCTAAAATTTGATAACTGAACCTAACTTCAGCATACCAAACTATACAAATTATGTATCCTGAAAGCATTTTTAAAAAAAGTAACATCAAAATTCTTTTAAAAATTAGAGAATGTTAAGAGTAGAAACTCAAAACTGCCTTCCTATTTATTCCATATATGGCTCACTCATTAATACTTAGTATTTAAAAGAAGAGTGATTTGTAAACAAAAGGTTGTAAGTTTCAGAAGCTGTCTTCCTTAACTTCAGTATTTAGCAAAACTAATATCTACAAGTTAATTATCTAGTGTTCCTATTATCTATTGTCCCATAATGGTTGTTTAAGAGAGATTTAGGCCCTCCTTGGTGGTGCAGCGGGTTAAAGCACTGCACTGAGAAGCTAAAGCCACTTCCGCATGAGTTCGATTCCCGCCTGCCCTGGAGGTGACCACATGGCGTGGCAGACCTCTGCTGACCCGCCCGCTGCTCCCCTCAGCAGTGTACTTCGTCGATCTGCCTGTTCTGCTCCCCACTCTGTCTCTGGTGAAGCCTCTGCCACCCCTGAGCCTCTGGCCTGTGCCCCAGTCCTGTATGCACAAATAAAAATAAATCTTTTTAAAAAAGAGAGGTTTAGGTTTAAAATTTATTCTTTATATACAGTGTTAATGTTGGTCATAAAACTGATGATTCTATCCAGAGTGGGTAAAAAACCTTTGTTTGGCAAGTGTCTCCATTATTTTCCCACTAGGTGGCAGCATTAGGCTCTACAATGAAAAGACTAAACTCTCATTCAGGCCTTTTTGCTCATTTTTGTTTTTGTTTCCTCTTCCCTCATCACATCATCTTTACATTCTACACTTAATTCCCTGAAACAGGCACTCAGCTTCCTGGATGGAAAGACCCCTGTAACTAAGCACAACATAAAACTACAACATGCAAGGAAACAGTACTCTACAAATGATAGCTATACCACATGGCAAGGGTTACAATTTATGTATTCATATCAAGTAACAGAACAATTCTTATTATTTACATAAAACTGATCACTATGTCACACTGAAAGATGCTTAAGAGAAATTCTGGTCTATTTTACTAAAAGGAAGCAAAAGTTCAATCCCAGCCAGGTAGCTGACCCACATAACACAGCAGACCTCTCCTGTCTTGTCAGCTGCTCCCCTAAGCAGTGTATTTCAGTATATCTGCCTATTTTGATCTCTACTGTGTATCTGGTGAATCCTCTCACCTCCTGCACCTCTGGCCTGTACCCCAGTTCTGTGTAAAAATCTTTTTTTTTTCCTTAAAGAGAGATCTCAACTCTCATCTGTACTTGCTTTGTTCTGCCTGTATATTCGAAGTCCTACTTTTGAGAGAATTTTCCCTTTCTCTGTTAGTTTTCAAATCCAGAATCACATTTGCTCCTTTTTTATGTTTCATTACCGAGGATGTTTTCTGATTGAACAGGCAACGTTCTCATACTTTTAGTTCTTTAGTGGTTTCCTATTTTTACATACTGAAATCTCTGTCTACAGCAAATCTAATGTTAAGAGCTTCCTTAAGGATGGCTTCTATTAGTTGCTTTCCCTCCCATTTATGAACCATAATTTCTTATTTCTTCACATGTCCAATGTTTTTTTATTTTTTGTTCTTCTTGTTGAATCCTTTTGTTCTTCAAGTTGAACACTTAAAATAACAGCATTATAACTCCAGAAATGAGATTACACTCACTTTCAACATTTGTTATTGCTGTTTTGTTATGTAGTGGCTTGTGAATGAATTATGTTTAGCCTGTATTCCTTGCTGTGTATGGTCACTGAGTACTGCTCCATTAGCTAAGTGGTCAGCTAATGACTGGAAAGATTCCTTTAAACACATGGAACCAATTAGTCTCTGACTTTGCTCAGACTTAAGTATGAGTTGGGCCATGCCGTCAACACCAGTCAGCTGAAACTCTGCCTTTACATGTGAGAATTGAGGGCCTTTTCAGTTCTTTTCCAACCATGTGCACAGTCCTATGTGCATGCAGACAACTATGTGTTAGAGTACGTCAAAGCCCCTGTGGGCCTCTAACTTTCCAGCTTTTCCTTCAAAGCTGTTTGGTTAGTTAGCCTGTTCTTTGCCTCTGGCCCTCAAAAAGTTAAATTTTTTCTAAATGTTTTCAACACATTCTTCTAGGGACAGGCTTTTCACACTGGGTTGTGAGTGAGGTCAAATAAAAATAGCTTTGCAAGCAGAATCTTTCAAAGAACCAGAAGACAGGTAAAATAAAATTGGTAACCTGGGAATGAGTCTTTATGGGAGTTCTAACCCTTTCCTGCCTCTGTTGGTGGCTGCTAGCTTCCAGGTTTCTACTTTGACAATGGGGGTTACTGGAAACAGAACAGGAAAACCGTAGTAGAATTGGTTAGAAGGCCATAAAGCAAGACGCTATTATTAAGAAGTGAGACATTTTTCTTGAATAAATTGCTGCCAAGACTAGATAACTTTTCAGAGGTTTCCAAATATAGTTTATGAACCCAACATTACCCTGATCCTATATAACCTTCAACCACATAAAGACATCACAAAAAAAGCAAATTATAGACCTACATGTCAAATGAGTACAGATGCAAAAATTTCAACAAAATACTAGCAAACCAAATTCAACCGTGTATTAGAATCATACACCTGAAAGTGAAATGTATTCCATGGATGCAAGGTTGGTTCACACATAAATCAATAAATGTGACACATCAACAAAAAGGGACAAAATATCACCTCTATAGACAAAAAATGTTTTCACAAAAATCAAATTTCATTTATAATAAAAACCATCAATTCTGATATACCAGAAATATACCTCTACATAATGAAGGCCATTATGCGACAAACCCTTATAGTGAACTTCAGACACAACAGAGAAAAATTGAAATCATTTCTTCTGAGATCAGGAACAAGACAAGGATGCTCATTTCTACCACTACTGTATAATGTGGGTACATAGTATATATAATGTGGGAAGTCTAGCAAGCACAATTAGACAAAAAATAGATATGAAGTATCTCAGTTGGAAAGAAAGAAGCGTTAACTATCACTATTTGCAGATGATATAATAGATAAAATACGGAAAATACCAAGGACACCAGAAAAAAAGCTATTACAATAAATCGTAAATTGGCAAGCTACAAAATCAATACCCAAAAATCTGCATTTATACACATCGATACCAACAGTAGTAAAAAGAGAAATCAAGAAAATACCACTATTTATAACTTCCTTGGAATAAATAATTACAAATTCCGTTGTAATTATGATTAGGTTTCTATTATCAATAAGCAGTGGTGAAGAACAAAGATATTTTCTTAGATCTACACTGGTATAAATCAAGGTCACTGAATTTTTTTTTTTTTAGAGAGCCACATGGTAATGCTCTTTTATAACCACTGTTTTTAACTACTCAATTCTGTGTCATAGAAAATATGTACATGAATGGATGTAGTTGTATTCTAACACAGCTATTTATAAAAGAAGTGGTGGCCCGGATTCGGCCTGTATTTTGCCAACCACTAGTCTGATCTTTAAATACTTAGTGCAAAATGACCATCTCTTGAACAAGAAACATTGTGTAGATCATTGAAATTTAACTTTACCATGATATTGCAAGACTCACAGTATCATGCTCAGTGAACACTAAATAAAAACCAATTTTCAACATCTCATTAAAGCTCCAAAATTGATTACCTGTGTATAATCACTAAAAGGTTGTGAATAAGCAATAGACTTTTCCAATGTATGTTGTGACTCATTTCCCTGAGAGATTGCATCCAGAAGGTTGCTTGCAATTCCAGTCTTCTGCAGAGTGGTTTTATTTGCAGTGGCTAAAGGTGAAATTGATATATGTATTTTAGTTAGGTTGTTTTACTACAAACTAAATAGAACTCACTAATTCAGCAGTCTCAAATAGAACATACATTTTAATTTGCTACTACATATCCCTCTCTCTTTATATATCTGTACTTACTACCCTCATTTAAAACTGAAATTGGAGGCTTGCCCTATGAGTAAATAATTTTGATGGAAACATTTAAATGTGTTGAATCTCTAAAACAAGGAAGCAAAATGCAACTTAATTCTAATTAATGCAATACTTGTAACCATCTATCTTAGGCCAAATAAAAATATAAAACAGGCATCATTAGGAGCACATCATTTTTTTCCTGCTCTTTTAAAAAATTAATTCATGTTTGGGTTCAAGAGCATAATTCCTAAATAGTAAATAATGTATATTAAAAACAATTTAGCTTTCATGTGTTTTCATTTAATCCTTTTTCACCCAGAGTTTACAGTTTAGAATTTACTTTTCTAAATTTACTTTATCCATTTACACATTGAATATGTGCCTGTAAGAATACATAGCTTTAGACAAATACACACACAATCATTTTATTGGATTTTTCACTAAATGCTTTAAACATCATTTCATATTAGTACATGTAGCCATCAGTTAGTTATAAAGAGCTGCACGGTATTCTGTTTTCTGATGGACTAAGTATTTAATTATTTCCCTAATGAACACTTTGACACTTTCCTGTTTTTCATTATTGACAACAATACAGTAACTGTCCCAGTGTCAATAACAAAATGTATCTGATTTTTTTTTAACTAATTTGAGTTAATAACTTACACTAATTGAAGGTAAGGAAATCCTACAAAAATGTAAATGAGAATTTCACTTTGGCCAGTATCAGATTATTCTGAAAATGCCCTGGGAATATTAGAACTTTAAACCTCTATTTCAATATACAATTTTTATGTATTATAAAGACTAGCACTGCCAAATTTCTTTGCACCTTCAACCATGATTCAGTAATAATTCAATAACTATACTGTGAAGAGTTTTTAACAAAGCATTACAAATTACATTCTTCTTAAATAAAATACACTTAAAATGTCAAATTTTAGTTATTCTTTCAATTTAAAGATGGGGTCACAATTTAGGCGATCATTGGTCAGTATGCATTGTTTGCTTCCATTACCTTAAACATTAAAGGACAAATCATTACAGAAAGTAAAACTACCAAAGACTAATATTGAGGTCTCACTTACATAAGCAGACACTGGGTAAAACACTTGCCAAGTTCAAGTATGGGTTTTTACTAAGCCGAATTTCTTTTGGTGGTTCCCCCAACAGTGAAGTCTGATTCTTAATGGTAGCCTATTTATCAAAAACAAAAGAGTAACTACTTAATAAGTGTACACACAAGAATACAGAAATAGAAACCTACTGCAATAAAAATTTGTGGAACATTGGCCCTCCCTGGTGGCGCAGCAGGTTAAAGCACAGCACTAAGAAGCTTAAGCCACTTCTGCATGAGTTCGATCCCCGCTTGCCCCGGAGGAGATCCACATGGCGAGGCAGACCTCTCCTGACCCGCCCGCTGCTCCCCTCAGCAGTGTACTTCATCGATCTGCCTGTTCTGCTCCCCACTCTGTCTTTGGTGAATCCTCTCACCCTCTGCATCTCTGGCCTGTACCCCAGTTCTGTATGAATAAATAAATAAATCTTTAAAAAAAAATTTGTGGAACATAACGTGACAATAGAAACAAATATTTTTAGATAATGATCAAAAGTGTATTTTGTCGCCATTTTTTTTCAATACAGGATCTTAGAATTGAAGTAAAGGCCATCTTGTACACCCTTCTCATTTGAACAAGGAAAGACAAATCTTATACCTCATATAAAATGCTTATTAATTGCATTTTCATTTTATATTGTATGGTCATAGCCAGATGCTAATGGTAAACTTGTGCATCTGTCATTAACACTAACTCCAAGCAAAAGAACCAAATTTAATACAACCCCGCATTTATAAATGATGATAACCCCAGAAATTCACATTTTTTTCAAAATAAATGATATCAGCATGTTTTTATGTAATGAGTTAAGGTCAAGCATTCTGTAGTCTTCAGCAGAGAAAAAAAATAGGAAAAACCATAGCTGATTCTGCAGTGTACTTCATTTTCCTTGAAAGAATTTTTTACTTTTTCACTGTCCTATTGTAAAGACAGAGTTTAAGAAAGGAAATTCAGGTTACCATAATTAAAGCTAAACCTAGTAGTTTGTATTTTAAATGATTTTTTGTTTCCTGAGCAGAATGAAGAAATTAAAAGTTCAAGAGATTATTTCTATATCATTTACAGAACTTACATTTATTCCTTATCTAACCAATATTACTATAATTGAATAGAGGAATTGATTTTCTGTATCTTCATAAACCCCAAAGATGTCCATGTTTGCATGTGACATGGAAACTGCATATGTAAATGTAATGTTCATCCATTCACTGTGTTTACTATGTTCCAGACACCGTGGTAAGCATGGGCAATACTAAAATAACTAAACGCTGAAGGCAGGGATAATGCCTTTTAGAAATTCATTGTCTATAATTATAACTCAAGAGAAGTTAAAGATGAAATCATAAGGTTATATAGGTGGCAGCCCAAAACATTAGATACATGCCAAAACAAAGCATATAGTAGATGAAGGCACAATTCCTTCAAGAAAATTCAGTGATTGAGTACAGGAAAGGGAGGCAGCAAAGGAAAGAAGTCTCATGTTTTACTTCTAAGTTGCTTAGATTGCTAAAGAAATGAGACTATACCAGGGTTCTCAATTCTAGCTAGACATGAAATTCAGTCATAAAATTAAAAAATATTTAAATACAGAATCTTACTAACAAAGAAAAACACAGGACCAAATGGCTGCACTGGGGAATTCTACCTAACATTTAAATTGGAATTTACATACAGTCCTTCTCAAACTCCTCCAAAATACTTTAATATTTTTGAAGCCAGTACTGCCCTACTACACAGACAGTACAACTACAGGCCAATATCCTATATGAATATTGATAAAAACTTTACCAACAAACAGCACACCATTATCAGCTAAGATTTATCCCTAGAATGCAAAGAAGATTCAACACAGACTATGGCAGATGAAAGGTGATAAAACCATATGATGATCTCAATTGATGCAGAAAAAGCATTTGATAAAATTTAAAATGTGTTCATGATAAAATTCAAAACCTCAATAAAAAAAGAAATAAAAGGAAAAAAACAGACTTCCTTAAAAGTCAAATATGAAAAGTCCCCAGCAAACATTCTCATCAGCATAGGACTAAAACATATTCAGATTTATTGTATAACCCAGCAATTGTACTTCTGGACAAATACACAAAAGAACTAAAAACAGGGACTCAGATATTTATTTGTATATCAATGTTCATAGCAGCGTTATTCATATAGCCAAAAATGGCAACCACACAGTACTCACCGGTGGATGATGGAGCAACAAAATGTGGTCTGTAACTACAATAGAATATTAACCAGTCATTAAAGAAAAGTACATGCTACAACATGAATGACCCTTGAAGCCATGATCCTCAGTGAAGTAAGCCAGAAAGAAAGGACAAACGCATCATTCCGACATTCAGATTATGTGAGAAGCCAGGTCAGGTTGATCAGAAATCAGATGCAAAATTGGGATGGGGCGGATTGGGGAGTAGAGTGTGGAGGGAAAATGGAGACTTCTAGAAAAGGGTTGCAAAAGTTCTGGAGATGGGTAGCACTGGATGTTTGCAAAAACAATGTGAATCCTACACTTATAATACAGATCTCACCTCTATGTCCCTAAACCTACTCTCAGGTATAGCAGAGTTAGGGTCTGGCGCTCCCCACTTAAAAAAAAAAAGAAAAAAAGAAACAACTCCAGAGGTGACTGACAAAAATGAAGTATCAAGAATCACTCATCAACATACTATTAAAGCTGCATACTTCGAAAACTTGGAGACTACTAGCCCAACACTGTAACAGAAAGTGTAGTCACTTCTACAAAAATCTGTCCAGATGTTCACCTGGGGTCTGCTTAACTATTTTAAGTAATATGACACTGAAACTTTTTTCTGTTTGATATCTTTTGATTGTTCTGTGTTATATAACCCCCAATTCTGCTTTACTGTGTGTTATTCTTATGGAACTAAGTTCTTTCCACTGGAGAAATACTGTATGACTAGTCAATAACTCTTTTTAAATGTATATATCCAGCTGGTCACCGCTTTCCCAGCTCCACATTTTCATTTTCCTTGACTCTTCTTCACAAGACCTGTTTTCCAGATCCTGCTCCACTTTGACAGTTCTCTTTCAGACACAGACTCATTTGTCCATTATGTGAATCATCCCAAATCAGTTTTTCTAGAGAGCCTGGGACTTTTCAGTAAACTTAAAAGTGTGCAAAGCAGTAAGCAGAATACTCACTTATGAGCTTTTTCTTTAATGTTAACATTTGTATAATGCCAACTCCATGAATTCTCCCCTCACATATTGCTTACAGCCTGAGTTTCACACCGCTTACAAACTAAGGGTATTTTAGGGTTCAAATAAAATAAAAATGAAATGTACTTTATCCTACCTACTAACTTATATAAATGTCTATGGTTTATTACCCAAGAATACAACCATAATTTTTTAAATTGCAATTATCTTTAAAACTATGCATCTCTCAAAGTTTAGGAAAGCAAATTATAAGAATGAAGACTTTAACAACTTATTGTACATAAATTATCTTATTTACGGTAACGTGGCACATAATCAAGCACAGTCCCAAACATCAACTGGTATTACTGGTTTTGTTTATAAAAACAGAATTTTTACAAAATAGTACAAAATTTTACAAAAAGTACTGTATTTTGTAAACTATATACTCTAAAATAATGTCATTGAATTATAGCAATTATCTAGTTTGTAATTCACATTTATCTATTTTAAGTATAATATTAACTTCCTTTGAAATCTAAAAATAGTTATTCTTCATCATTTATGGCACCTGTAAAATAACAAAACAATTAAATTATAGAATTAGAATGATTTAAATTAAGGTATAAAGAAAAATAAGTATGTTTTCTTGGATAGAGGCTACACACATATAGGATACACCCATCATGTGCATAATATATATGTAACTCTACCACACTGCACAGAGATAGTTTTCTTACCCCAGAACTTATCTCTGTGGCTTTTGGCTGACTTTGCTGTTGCTTAAGGTGTCCTGTCAACAAGCCTCCAGCAGCAAGGTTTGGAAAATTCTGGAGATAAGCCTGTGACCCCGAGAAGTTTCCTTCTGCCATTCCCACGGAGGCTGGCTGTTTCTCCTGAGTAGTACCTGGCCCAGCTTGTCCAGCAATGTGCTGATTTTGAAAGAATGGCAACATGCCCACACCAGCTGTGATGGCTGTTTGAGGAGGCATCAGATTAGATGCTGCAGGGAACCACAAATGCAAAAAAAAGTTGGTTAGATAAAACTTCTTTACAAGACGACTTCTAAGTTATAGGCAAAGACAGAAATTCCCTTTAGAAAAATCTATAGCAGATAGAACAAATGTTAGTGGTTGCATATGAGCAGCTTCCACTATGAAAAATTAAAAACCTATAGTAGCAGTAACCAGCTGAGCAAAGCACAGTTCTATAATTTACTATTATTTGGGTACACTGAATTTTCACTGTTCTAGAAGTTGCACAGACTAAAGTTTACATCCAAAAATTAAGTTTTAGGACATTCATCATACCACTAACATTTCTGCATCTGCCAATATTCTAGTTTGATTTTTGCCCAGTCAATTCCAACGGGACTGACTGAATTATTTCATTATGACTTTTTGGTTTATGAAGAAGAGACTCAATATGCTACCCACATTGACTTTTTTTGTTAATGGTGACCTTTTCCCTGAAGATGGTCACTTCAAGCAAATTTCAAGTCTACTTCAAACTGAAAATGTCTTTCAAAACCAAGTAAGAAATCTTAGTAAACCACCCAATTCCCATTTTTCCTGGGGGAAAAATTAGTTTAAATCTGTCATTTTTTCAGAAATACATAGTACTCACCTTTTTCTTCTAAAGTGGAGATCACATTTTTAAAATCATGCAAGTAAGAAAATCTTAAATTTAAATAACTTTTTAAACTATTTCTTTACAAAAGCGAAGGGTTTCTTATTCCAGCAAAATTTAAATGGATGCCTACACAATGTGTTATCACCCAATGGACAGCATGTCCCTTTCAAGTGAACCTATGTGTCTCATGTGGTGAACTGCCATCAAATATTAGAGCATGTCGAAGACGAAAAGTTTTATTCTTGCATGGAAGCAGGTCCTTCAATAATTTGTCAGGCTTTTGAATATTAAATATGGAAAAGCCAAAAGGGCGTCTAAAATTTTTAAGGATAAAATAAAATTTAAACTTGACCTTTCTGTAAATCGGAGTATACCACAGGGTAAACTCTCTTTAAATCTCAAATGTGACTCTACTAACTTCTCATTCAGTACACATCACTCACTTTTATGTCCTTCTCCATGATGACCCAACTCTGTTTTCAATGGAAGGGCCGACCCAATCCCTACTGCAGTTTGCAATACTATAGCGGGGGGCTCTCCAAGTAAGCCCGGTTTCTGCAAAAGAAGAAAACAAAAAAGGTAAAGAATTGCCCATACCAGCAAGATATAACCTAACAAAGATTACACTGTGTAAATCCATAAACAATCTAACACACACTGATTACAGAAATCATTTCAGAAGAAAAATTAATTTCATACTTACATTATTCGTATGAATATTCTCAAACTTTATTAATTGTTGTGTCAGTGGTACATGAGAGAGATTCTGAAGGAATAAATTAGAAGCATTACCCATAACTGAGCTCTGAAAATGATAAAACATTAAGTTAAATTTTGAAAAGCTACATGTTATATAACTCAATTCATTTTCAAATTCTCCAGCTGATCTGGGCAAAAGAACAGCTTCCTGAGATCCCCTTTTACAACTTTACACAACGCTGATTAACCCTTCAATATACAACAGGTAACCACAAAGCCATTGACACTAACTCCACACCCTTGCCTTCTTTTCTCCATTCATCTTCCCACTCCACCCTTTTCTGGCTCTACTGACTTCAATTTGGTCACCCATTTAATCAATCATTCAACAAGGATCTACTGAGCACTCTATGTGCCAGTGCTGTGCTCAGTGAGAAATACAGCAGTCTGATCTGTCCTCCTTGAGAACAGGAGAAATTAATCAGTTATAAAAACATGTAACTACAAGTGGTGGCGAGAATATAAAGGAAAAATATAAGGAGTTTGAGAACAAACAGTAGAGGTACTGGTTTAGAATGACAAAATCAGGAAGAATTTCCCTGAAGAATTAAATTTTGTGAACAAATCTGAAGGCTGTGAGAAGAATTTTATGAAATTTGGAGGTATTAGATGATGCGATAGCAGGGAGTATTCACAGCAAGAGCAAAGACCTAAGGAGAAGAGAAAAAAAATACCCTTGAGGACCAAAAGCAAACCACTGGAGCTGTGACAGCCATGGCCAGTGAACATAAGGTAGAGGTGGCCGGCTTGGGCAGGACTTCACAGCAAAATTAAGCATGCTGGTTTATTTTCTAAAATAAAGGGAATACTACTGACAATACAGCTCCCCTCATTACTTTTCAAACCTATTGTACTTGTTTCATGTTTGTTTTCTGTATTTGGTGAAATTCCCTAAGAACAGGGACTAAAGGTGTTCTGTTGGGTACTCAATACAATATGTTGAATAAATGAATGAATAAAAGCCTCTTTAATGTGTAAAGTCCTACATCAGATTCTAAGAATGAAAAATAAAGGACAGGTCTTCTCTTTAAAAAGTGTTCAGTGTTCTTTAATCACCTTATGGCTCAATTTAAAGCTTGACTTGTAACTAACCATCTATATACAACAGCTTTAAACAGTATATGTGAAATTAATAACATCAATAATATTTACATATACAATCATGTCTTAAAATACTACTGAAAAACTCATAGATTACCTTTATAATATTTTAAGATTTTTTTCTATGAATACTTTGTGTGACAACCCACATAAGATGATTTGTTTTGTACTAATTTACTCCTAGAAAAATATATGGAAGACATATCCCCTTAAAACCTAATATGAATCAGTAACAGATATATAAAACTTTGATGCTTTGATTAGCTTAACATGATGTGATGTATTGTTTCTTTGTAGATATACTTATTACTAAGGAATTTAAAATGAAACATTCAGTTTCTTGAGAACTTTTAACTTTTAAAAACAAACAAAATATTCACCCCAAATTTTTGCTGCTTAGTACTCAAGGCTATTTATATACCTGATGGGCTTTATTCAAATGTAAAAATGCAGGGGAGATGGAAGGATTCATCAGATGTGGCAAGCTGTGAGGTGTTCCAAGAACTGCTTTGAGAAAATAAAAGTAAAATTTAACTTTATTATATATGGAATTTAAAAATAAAGAAGCTCCAAAAAATAAATATTCCTTTAAACTTAAGGCATCAGAAACTCAATAATATAGTAACCTTGTCATTGTACAAAAAGTGACAATGACCTTGTTACTGTACAAAAATGATTTAACCCTAGAATCTGATTTAAAATTCCAACACCTCTGTCATAACAGACACACTTAGTTTTTTCTTCTTCTCTAGTGCTTAATGCAATAAAACCTAATTTTATCTTTTACTGAATACAATACAAATTGAACCCATGTTATGTTACCTGCTCAGTTTTTATAAGGTGTTTAGGGTATTTGGGCTGTGAAGAGGGAGGGAGTGGGAAAAGATACCATCCCACCCTTGAGAAACATAATCCACTTGAGAACATAAATTATTTACATATTAAAAACAAAACTGAACATTCAAATAAATAGTAACCATACTCTTATCAAGTGTATCTAAGAGTACAAATACGGTGATAAAGAAAAACAAAAAGCATACATATTAGCAAGGGAGAAATGAAACTTAATTTATAAATGACCTATCTATGTAGAAAATTCTTAAGACAAAAATTTATTAGAAATAATTAAGCTAAAAGATGCAAGATATATAAAATCAACTGTACTTACAAATGTTATCAATAAGCAACAGGAAACTGAAATTTAAAAAGCAATACCATCTAAAATGCTATCAAGAAATAATAAATACAAAACATAAATCTGACAAAGTATGGATAAAATTTGCCCTGAAAACTACAAAATGTTGCTAAGAAAAACTACAGATAACCGAAATAAAAGGAGAAAGAGAGACTATATTTATGGCTTCAAACAGTTGTCAATTTTCTTCTCTCATCACTCGAAAGTTAAAACCAAACTCAGTGAAATACTTTCTCTTATCAGTTTAATACTCAAAGTATCCAGTATTACAATATTGACCGTATGTTAACAAAACTGTAAAAGCTATGATAAAATAAACAAGCATCATCTCATAAGGCCATATACCAATTTGAGCAGAAAAGCAGAGAAAATTTATTCTTAGATGTAAAGGACAAAAAATATGGCAGAATTATTAAAAATAGTGCAGAATTCAAAGTTGTGGACAATCTAAAAGAACCATGACTGTGATAAGTTCTTTAAAAACGAATACCATCTTCCAAAGCATCAATATAAATATGTTAACAAGAAATAAGTCCCACTGTATTCTGTGCTGATCAGAAGCCATCTACAAGATATGTGTTAATGTCTGTGTAGACCTTATTTCAGGGCAATTCAGAAGATCTAGGTTATGTTTACAAGAGTACAATTTGTAAAGGGATGTAGAAATCACATTTATGACATGTTATAGAATGTCAAACATACAACTTAATCTCCAAAGAGGCATAAAAGGTAACAAAGAAATGTTAGAACAATTACTATTACTTATCTTTATTTTCATACTGAAGAATAAAGATTTATTAGCTGTGTGGAGGACCCTCAAAACAAAATGAATTGACCTTATGATACAGCAATTTCACTACTAGGAATCTACTCAAAGGACACAAAACCACTAATTCCAAAGGAAACCTGCACTCCTATGTTTACCACAGTACTATTTACAATAGCCAAGATATGGAAACAACCTAAATGCTTCCAAACATAGGAATGGTCAAGATGATTTCTGTGTGTGTGTGTGTGTGTGTGTGCATATATTACATACCTATACATACACGCATAAACACACATATATACAGAGCACTACTTAGTGGTCAAAAAAGATAAACTCATGCCATTTGTAGCAATACAGATGGACCTGGCAGGGATTATGCTAAGTCAAATAAGTCAGAGAGAAAAAGAAAAATGTGGAATTTCATTTATAAGTGGAACAGAGGAAAACTGAAAAAGGGTCAGGAAAGAGACAAAACTTGTAGGTTAATCACAGATCTGAGACAAACAGCAAGGGAGGAGGGGGGAAGAACACAGGGACTGTGGTGTTGGTTCACAGGTGCTATGGTAGTGGGAGAATTAAGGGCACTACACTTAAGGGGAGAACAATGATCTACAACAATAAATTTTAAAAAGAAAAGTCATTAAAAATATCTGTAGCAGCAAGAAACAAATAGAAAAAATTTTAATTAATAGACATTATTCAGAAAATATTAACAAATTAACAAGATTTCTAAACTGGAAAACACATACTACCAAGCAAAATTAAAAAATGAAATATATGAAAAGCTGTATGGTAGACATAGCTTGAAAACTTGAGATTATAAATTTTTCAAAAGAACCCTAAAGTAACTTTGTATTGGATGCAATTTCAGTAAGAAATCTTGCCAGCTTTAAAAATAAAGCTTTACTGGGCCCTCCCTGGTGGCACAGCAGGTTAAAGCACAGCACTAAGAAGCTTAAGTCACTTCTGCATGAGTTTGATTCCCACCTGCCCCGGAGTGACCACATGGCACGGCAGACCTCTCCTGGCCCGCCCGCTGCTCCCCTCAGCAGTGTACTTCCATGATCTGCCTGTTCTGCTCCCTACTCCGTCTTTGGTGAATCCTCTCACCCTCTGCAACTCTGGCCTGTACCCCAGTTCTGTATGAATAAATAAATAAATCTTTAATAAAAAATAAAGCTTTACTATCTCTTAACATATGAATTAACAAGGATACATTTATACAGCCAACACCTAGCTGATAGATCTATTATTTATATTGGGACTCCATTCAAAATTTATTTTACTCACAGGGTTGTAGTAAAAAAAAAAAGAGGAGATGGCTGGTTTGATACTAGAAGACAAAAGCCAAAGATGAAAGTGTCATGCTGGTTGTCTTTACATACTACCAGTCTTTTCTTACCAGAAGAATGAATGGATTGTTTCCTCAGACGGAGAAAACTAGTATTAAGTGGCTAAAAGTGAGAGGGATCAGTATTCTGACAAATAAACGAAAAATGTCCTAGTAATTAAATGTGTCAAACCAGAAAAGTTTTCCTTGGCAGATAAGCTCCTTACACCTAAAGAAGGCAAGGCACAAAATGGCTAACTTTATACCTTTGAAATCATAGCACACTGTAGATCTGTGAAACTGCACCTGACTGCATAAGCTGAGCCAGAACACCTATTAACCTGCTCTTACATACAAATCATTGAGTAATTCTATTAAGTAAAATGAATTGTGTTGTATAAAATAATGGACACTTTGAGATATGTCCTGGCCTCCAAGAAGAAAAGGGGGACGGGAGGTTGAGTTCAATAACTTGGCTGGCCACACCTACAAAATCAACCCTCTAGTTCCTCAAACTGCTAAACATGGAGCTTCCCTACAACCCAGCAATCCCACTCCTAGGTATCTATCCAAAAGACACAAAAACACTGATTGAAAAAGTTACCTGTACCCCCATGTTTATTGCTGCTTTATTTACAATTGGAGAAACATGGAAGCAGCCCAAATGCCCAAAAGTAGATGACTGGATTAAAAAGGTGTGGTACATATATGTAATAGAATATTATTCAGCAACCAAAAAAGAGAAACACATATCTTTCGCAGCAACTTGGATGGAGCTGGAAAAGATCATGCTTAGTGAGATATACCAGAAAGAGAAAGAAAAATACCTGATGGTTTCACTCATAGCAGGAGTATACTGCACCAGGTGAGAAAATAACAATAATGAACAGCCATATACCAGAGACATTTTGCAGGGGTGGAGTGGGGAATGGGATCAAAAATGGGGGTGGGGGTGGGGAGGGAAGTGCACGGGATTATGGTGATGGCACGCGGGTGACTTGGTGATGGGAAACCCGTGGGGATTACAATTGAGATGGGAAAAAAAAATGTACAAAATGATGTAAAAATAAACTGTTATAAAAAAATCAACCCTCTAATAAAAACTATGGACACCGAGTTGAGTTCAGTAGAGCTCCTTGCTCATGAACACACATGTGTGCTAGGAGGGGGAAGGGCCTGAAAGCTCTGCCTTCAGGTTCTCCTAGCCACAAGCATCACTTCTCAGGCTATTCCTAAGTCCTATCCTTGCTGATAAAACTGTAATCCTAAGTGTAGTGTTCCTAACTTCTGTGAGTCTTCCTAGCAAATTATCAAACGTGAGGGGGGTCACAGGAGCCCCAAATTGCAGAGAGTGGGCAGTAAATATAGGATATAGGTGGCACCAGAACTGATAGCTGGTGTATGAAGTAGAAGCAGACTTAGGGAATAAGCCCTTTTCCCAAGGGGGTCTAATGCCAACTTGCAGTAGTTAGTGGAAGTGAACTGCAGTGCACAAGTTGGTGAGGCCAGGTGAGCTTACAGAAGCACAAATGCATTTGCTCTGGACATTTTGCTCTAAACCTTAGAGTGGAAAACAGCTTCACTCCCTGGATACCCCTTGGGCATGGGCGATGAATAATTCCATAATATATAGGCTGTGCATCTATGGTTGTACATTTCAGAAGGTAAACAAGCTTTTACCAGAAAAAGAATACTAAATGGGTAGACATGTAATATATACGAAAGCTATAAAGATTTCATAACGCTTAGAAAGTAAATTTATTTTCTAAAAATTAAACAGCAGTACAACAAAAAGGTGAGAGCAAAGAAACAGACAGCACTTTTTAACAACTTTTAATTCTGGAAAAAATATTACATGGCAAAGTATCATATCCTTTACTGATACATTCCATAACAATGACACTGGAAATTCTTATCTGATCTATAAATTCATGTGAAGGTTTAATATTTAATATTCATTAATGGTAAAAAATTAGGAAACATAATCAAAGCATATCATCACCTCAGGCCATTAATTAAGATGCACTGATGAGTAGAAATTTAATATATTTAGACTCATTTAAAAGTGGTTTTTCATGTATAACAGAACAGTTAACTTCATTCCAACATTCTCTATTGAATCACCATACGTGGTGCTTACCTGGTGTAACAGCTCGCCCACAAAGCTGGGGTTGTAAAAGAACTTGTAACATGGCAGGGTTGTTTAGACTTTTCATAATTTGTACTGGATTTGGCTCTGGTAGTAGGCCCTTTTGACTACTGTGCATCTTTAATGAATATAGAAATAGGAAACATTAGAAGGGTAAAGACAAAAGATGAAAATTAAATTCTTAATCACTTTGTGAGGACATATTTTATGATAAGCAAATTGCTATACAGTGTACATTTGTTGGACACATTTCACAAATCTTCTAATTGTGATCTTAAGATAGTAACACAAAGTGTGACAAAAGATCTTTATTATAATGTTGACTGAATATGTAATCATGGATTGCCTGAAGAATAAAAAGTTTATTACAATAAAGACCTTTATTTTATTAACATAATCCTCAGAGATGATGAACTGGCTTTATAAACATGTAAATTGCATAGCTTCCTAAAATGAAATATATATATATTTTTTAGTTTAGAAATACAGCCTGCTAGATGAGAAGATCCATCTGATATAAATGGACAAATCTAAGTTTCTAGCCATGAAAAAGTGAAGAACTACCAAGGACAACAGTTTCCCTGTCCCAATCCAGACACAATAAAACTGAGAGGGAAAAGGTGACAGACCAAAGAGCCTAACACTGAACCTCTGAGCAATCTGTATTGACTCCCTGTATGAAGGAAAATAGCATCAGAGAGCATGAAATGGCCTCCATCCATACACAGGGTACTCTGGCAAATGGCTGTCCAGAGGTGGACGACACTACCATGTCCACACTGACGGCCTGGCCAACACCAGGCAGGTGTCGGCCAACAGCAGGTGCCGTGCAAGCTCATCTATAGGTCCTGGTCAACACAAAACTCCAGGTGTGGGTACTGAAAACTTCCTTTCCACCTCCCGCAGCCTCCTTCAGTTCCTCCCTCCCACAGTGATGATAAAAGAAGTATCAGTGAGGAGACCTAAGATACAGAGATGTCTGGCTGGATGGGCAGAGTGGTACAGTAAATAAACCTAACAGACATTCTGGAAAGGATGAGACATTTTTGCTAGTAACAAAGCAAGAAAAAGCAGTTATAAAGAGTCACTGAAATACTTGGTATGAAAAGCATAAATGTTGAAAAGAAATAATAGCAGCCCTCACTAATATTTGGCATTATTCTAACCACTTCACATGGATTCTATCACTTAATCCCCTAAAACTGTTTGGCAGAGTTGGAATTACTATACCCATCGAGGAGATACAAAGTTACTGTTAACCTCTACCCTGTGCTTTAACAAACAGAGTAAACAGTAAATGCAATTGAAAATGGAAATACTGATGTGAAAGTCACATCAAAGCAAGTTTCCAGGACACATCAGCAAAGGATAAAGAAATGGAAATGCAAACAAAAGATAGTAGTAAAGCAACTGAAGTCAGAAATAGGATTGTCAACATCTATATAATAAGAGTCTCAAAGAGGGGGGAAAAGGGAAGCTTTGAAGGAGTAATAGCTGAGAATTTACCAATCTTCCCAATATTAAAGAGAAATCAGAAAACACAGAATGAAAGGACTCATGTTACCAACATAAAATATGAAGAAAAAGCAGACCATTCAAATGTTTTGGTGTGAATTTAAGAACATCAAAGCCAAAGAAAAAGTGCTAAAGCTTCCAGTGAGAGGACCATTATCTCCAAAGGAACAAGAATGGGATTAATATCATTGTCTCTGAGCAGCAACACTGGATTCAAAAAGATAATGAGTTAATATTTTCCAAGTGTGCAGGAAAAAAGAGAACTGAATCTAGATCATATTCAGCTAAATTATTAGGTAGAGATGTGATCCATAAAACTATTCCCAGTCATATCAATCTCCAGATTTTACCACATGAGTAATACCCTGAAAATGAGGGGGGGGTAATGCAGTAAGATATTACATAGTATATATTGCTGAGGATGTTGCACTATATAAATAATATCACGGTTAACTTTAATCTTCTATACAAAGGCCAGGACCATAAAAAAAGCAAATATTTAAGACAATCCTAAAGGAAAAATGTGCATGGCAATAAGATGGTGAGGTAGTGAGGACGAAGCAAGGAGAAGGTCAGAATGAATTAAGTGGGAAAAAAGAGAAACTGACAAACAGGGGTACTGAGAAGTTGTGGGCAATTACCAGTGGGAGAAAATAGAACATAATCACTCTCAACCAGAACAACAAGACTTATTTACCTACTAACAGATGGGAGCTGAAAGTAAAGGAGAAAAACATACTTTAAAAAAACAAAACAAAACCAACCAACAAACAAAAAACATAGCATCAATGAGGATGTGGAGAGAAGGGGCCCATGCCACATGCTGGTGGGAATGTTACCTGGTGCAGCACCGATGGGAAACAGAACCACCTAAAGAACAGAACTACCATGTGGTCCACCACTTCCACTTCTGAGTGTTTTTGTCCAGAGAAAACAAAAACTCTAACATGAAAAAATACAAGCACCCTGAACTCACTGCAGCGTTATTTACAATAGCCAAGACATGGAATCACAACTGTCCATCAGTGGAGGAATGAAGAATGTGGTGATCACAAAAAGAAAAGGCCTGCCATCTGCAACACCACAGAGGGACACTTGTGCCGCTGTGGAAGCCGGTCAGTCAGATGGAGAAAGACAAAGGCTGTATCTTACCTACATGTGGAATCTAAGAAAAAAACAAACATGATTTTATATTTATAGAGGAGAGACTGGTGAGGGTTTAGAGGTAGGCAAGTGAGCTAAAGTAGTAAAAATACCAGTTATAAAATAAATTTTACACATTTTCTAGTTATAGCTAAGTCCTAACATAGTTGACAATACTGTATTTTTGACAGCTGCTGAGAATAGATTTTAATGTTCTCATCACAAGGAAAAGCAGTATAACCATGTGTGGTGATAGAGATAACTGCATTTATTGTGATCATTTTAAAAACAGGCATATGTTGAGTCATCATTATATACTGAAATTAATGTTAATTATGTCTCAAATTTTAAATATATTACCCCCAAACTATGAAATTTTAAATATATTACCCCCAAACTATGAGATGGCAGACTAACTAGTAGACTAACAGTCAGTGCCTGTATAAATAGTCTAAATGCATTTGTTAAAGACAAATACTAGAAAAAAAAATTTTTTAAAGGTAGAGCATGTTAGCTATTAGATACATATCTAAAACAAAACATATATAGAAAAGCTGATTATAAAGAGATGGCAAATATAAACTGAAAGGAAGATGAAGTACCAATTTCAAAGAATTTTTTTTCCCTTCGGAGAAAAAGACATACTGTGAAAATGACCAATTTGACTACAATTTATAAATGTGTACCTAGTAATTAGTGATATTCCGTGTATGTGTATTGTGCACATTAAAGATCTGAGTGTGAATTAATATGTTCAAGCTAGTATTTGCACACTTTACATATAACTACATAACTCACAGACATAGAGGTTGGGTGGTTTCTAAGCACTTATAGCACATTTACAGAGATCAACCATGTATCCAATCACAAAAGAAGTTACATCCCCTACCCCCATCAACATTAGAGACCACAACATTCTATCTGCTCCTCCTTCCCCTAATCTCTTTCTCCAGTTCATCTTCAAGCCACTTTCCAGACTAACTTCTTGATGGCTTATCCCAGTCACTACTTTGTTCATATACATGATAATTTAAACTAAATTCTTTATTTTGTTCCTTCCCACTCTGGCATCAACCTACCACTTCACCATTTACCTCTCTATACATAACTCAGTCCACCTAGAGCACTTACCACTCTTCCTGCATGCAAGTTCACCTCCTATAACTGCTGGAAAAGTTATCTTCCAGCTGGAATGTGACCAATCACTCTGCCTCCTTAGGGCTGCCAGATTTAGCAAATAAAAATACAGGATACCCAGTTAAATTTGGGCTTCAGATAAACAATGAATAATTTTCACATAAATATGTCTCATGCAAAATATGTATTTCTCTGGCAATCCCATCCTCCATCAATGCATTTCAAAATCATACTTAAAAGACACACTCAAATGCCACCTCTGTCATGAAGTCTTCCCTGATCTCTTGGAATGGACTGTTTCCTTCTTTCAACCAACAAACATTTACTATGTTAAGTGTTAGGAATAAAAACCGTGAAGAACAGTCTTTACTGCCAGGAGCTTCTAGACTAAAGAAGCAGAGATGGGAATAAGTTAGACAGTGATAGTGAAGAAGTAGGCACAGTGTACACATAAGCAAAATAAGATGCACATCTTTACTGATACTATGGAATTGGGGAGTGGGGGAGCATGTGACACTCAAAATAGAACCTAAAACATTTCTTAAGGTGAATTCAATTTACTACACACAATTTTCTCCTCTTCTCTAGTGTCTCATCACTTAATTTCACAGAGGTTCCACTGAGCTAGACTTTAAAGCAAGAACAATTATCTTTGTGCACTGACTGGAGATACAATGAAAGTCTTATCGATCACTAATGTGTCGGTTAGATTAAAACTTAAGAGTACTGGGGGCCTTGCCTGGTGGTGCAGCAAGTTGGAGTGCTGCACTGTGAAGCTAAGCCAAGCTGTGGCCACTTCAGAGTGAGTTCAATCCCCGGACCCCGAGGTGACCCACATGGCACAGCAGACCTCTCCTGTCTTGCCCACTGCTCCCCTCAGCAGTGTACTTTGTCAATCTGCCTGTTCTGCTCTCTACTCTATCTCTGGCGAATCCTCTCACCACCCCTGCACCTCTGGCCTGCACCCTATTTCTGTATACATAAATAAAATCTTTTTTAAAAGTTAAGAGTATTGGAGTTATTCTATATTCTTAAAAAAGAACAACAAACTCACCACACGCTGAGCTGCAATCAGTGCTGCCAAGGTGCTGCGTCCTGGTGCTCCCGGGGCACAGAAGGAGACCTGGACTTGGCTGCCCTGGATGGTCATGTCATGGGCAGCCTGCCAAACCTCCTCAGCGTGCTCAGCAGAGTTGTACTCAACCACTGCAAAGCCACCAACATAACTGCCTTCATCCTGTGCAAGCTGAAGTAATACATTTTATTAACAGGGGATTTCTGATGTTAAGGTAGAAGTATTTATCATTTTGAAACCAAGAACAATTATATCAGGATATGATACTTGTGAAAATGTGTTCTCTTAGGGGGAAATAATTTACAAGTTGCTTGGAGTCAGTCAATTGGGAAGATGGAAAGATAAACAAGGTTCTGCCAAGTTTCTTTGCAACTCTTTTGTAAATTTATTTTAGAAGTTAAAACCCAAATATAAACAGCCCTCTATGTTAAGAAATACATGTGCATATACACCTGGTAATTTTAAAGAAAATACTGGGACATGATAATTAAAACTTTTAAAAAATAATTCCGGCCCTCCCTGGTGGCGCAGCGGGTTAAAGCACAGCACTGAGAATCTAAAGCCGCTTCCGCA